GCAGCTGCGACCCCGCCGAGTAGACGGCCCCCCCCGGGAGGTGGCGCGTTGTGACGCCGTCCACTCGGCTGGCTCGCAGCTGCCTCTGCGCGTCCTGGTGATGTACCTTTGTCGCGCGCCAGAGACGACTCGACGCCGCTGAGATCGGAGATCAAGCTCTGACAGGTCGCACGTTGCTCCTTTGACGCCGACGTGACTCACCCGTGCAGATCACATCAGGACACGGTCTCGACACGCTCGGTACGACGCCTGCGACCCGTCTTGGGTCAGGTGGCACGACGCTCATCGCGCCTACCAGCGCTGCCGTGCAGGTTGCCACGACGAGGTCGAGAACGCTTCTATACGCTCGCCCAGTCTTCCTTTCCATCCCATTAGGTAGCCTGGGAACGGTGGCGGTCAGAGGCAAAGCCTGCGAGGGGTGGTGGAACCACATGTCACGGCTACTGCCGGCTCGACCCACGATAGCCTCCGGAGGCTGACTTTGCGGCACCATCATCGGACAATGTCGACGAGTTGGGTCGCTCTCGCGGTAGCCAGATGACCTCCCATACTAGTATCACCGGCCATGGCCGCAGGAAGCGCGGGGGAGGGCGCTGGGAGCAACACAGAGCTCCGTTGGACGCGTTTTCAAGATTAGCGTCAGAGTGAAATGGAACTAGCCACGGGGAACATTCTCGCTTTTCTTCTTAGTTCAAAACGGCAGTCCCGACGAGACACGCGAGCAGAGAACTTTTTTTTTCAAAAAATTAAACGACGATTTGTCATTTGATACGGCTAAAACTCCTTTAAGCTTTTATACATATTCTGAACAGCGGCACATTCCTCTCCACTACGTGACGATATACGTGACGATAACCATTACGGCATTAGATCTCCTCGAGCTCACCCTCGTCGACAAAATCCTTGTAGCGGCGATGCCTGCAGCAGCAGCGCCAGAGCCACCACAAGCCATGCCACAAGCAGAGCGACCAGCAGACGAGGCCGAAGCCGAGAGATATGCCGAGCAGCCGGTTTCCCGCCTAAAGCGACCCACCACCTCCACCCCTCACGCCTGGGCCGAGAGAGCGACCGGCCTCTGACACGGCGCGGCGAACCCGCTCGTACTCCTGAGTGGAGGAATTGGCGGGGGAGAAGAAGCGGCCCACCACGTCTGCGCACAAGCGGAACAGCTCAGGGTGCGACTGCCTACAGGGCCGAGGGCGTGGGGGAGCGGAGTGGCACGCCTGCGTCGCCGACTCCCAGCCGGTGCAGCATGTCCCCCAGCCACTTCCCCAGCCAGGCGTCCGCCTGCCTTCCAGCCTGCCCGAAGCCGGCGAAGAGCGACGGCGCCTAGTCGCATCCCCCTTGACGCCATGACACCCTCCCCTCCCGCCGGCGAGGCACTCTCACGCGGAGGGGGAGGGGAGGGGTCTCTCTCTGGGGATCCACCTCTCCCGGGCGCACCTGCGGCGGTGGCGCGATCGGTGGCAGTTGCGGCGGCCGCCGCCGGCGGCGGCGGTGACGGTTGGCCGCCGGCTTAAGTGGGCGGCGGCCGCCCTAAGTTGGCGGCCGGCCGGCCGCCCGGCTTTAACCCGCCGCCAGCCGGCCTTAAAAACGGCCGGTTGGCCCGGCCGCCCG